CATACATTATCGTCTCGATGATGGTGGGTGAGGTTTTCCGGGTTTTCCTCATCTGTAAGTCAAATGGCACCATCAATCATCTTTAAGTCGCCCCGGAGCGCCACGGCAAATAATAATAATATCCGTCCCTTTCCCCGGACAAGCTCAGCTTTTGGGGTTAAAATTCACTCATAAGGGGGTGAATTAGGGAGAGTATTATTATTAATATTATTATTATTATTTATTTTTAAAAGTCAGCATATTTCGACTAAAATTGGTTTCTGATAAAATTGTTATCTGATCAAAGATAACAGATCATAAAATACTTTTTTAACATTCAAAATGGCATTCTTGTTTTTACAATTTAAACAGGGTGTTTTTTAATGGTATTCTAATATTGTAGGGTGTAATTTCTCAGGTCATTCTCCAAAGAAAAGTTCATATGAACATATATCCGCAACGACTTCAATTTTTTGCTACAGGAAGTTGAAAATGTGTGTTTTAAAGAGATATTTTTTAATTTCTCTGAAAATAGTTTAGATATAATTTTCAATTTTAGCATGTGTTAATAGGATATAAAACCACATATTTTAGTTAGAAAATTTATTTTATTGCTCTACTGGTGGCGTCTCTGTCATCTGATATTTTCTACAAAAAAAGTAGTACGTCTACGCCATCTACACACGATTAGTAGGTAAAAATCATTAAAAATATGAATCAATTTTTGCTGATTTAAAAATTTATTTGTATGCCTATTGTTGTGATTCATTTTTACAGGTTGTCATAGAAACAACAAAAAAACTAGTATGATTATGGTTTAAAAGAATTGTCTAACAAGAGTTTATAATTATTATTGACTATGGGGTCTATTCTGTAACAATTCCTTTATATTTAACGGCGGCCTTTAAAAATATGTTCGTATTCGTTAATTTACTTCTGTCATTATTTAAACAGATTTCTTTAAGATAGTCCTCTAATGTATTTTAAAGATCCGTTTAAATAATGACAGAAGTAAAGAAGAAAATATTTTTAAAGGCCGTTAAATATAAAGGAATTGTTACAGAATAGACTCCTATCTCTGCCAAAGTTAGGTAAAAATATTAATAATTAACAATGAATTAGGATTGTAATTTTCAGAGAAAACACAATTATCGCTGTCATGTCTTATGTAATTTTTTGAATATAAAATAATTTTTTTAACCACTTTGCTGTGGATTACAGATTAGCACAGGTGCAATTTGGTAAAGTATAATGCTGTTACATGTCTTTGGAGCATATTTCATTTTGTTATCAGATGGCGGTCGTAATTTGCAGTGGGCTCTCTTGGCTCTCTTACTATTACCAATTATGCATTCCAACGACCTGTCAAACAATAGCTGTCAGTGAGAAGGTCTGATATATCTAAGGGGGTAGAGACATAGTCTTGCATCTTGAACGTTTTTTTTATTCGAAATAATAGTCACAAATGTATCTTATTTTTATTGTGTTTGACATAAAATATTTAAATGTAATCCATTATTCATGATTTTACGTATTGTAAACAGAATACATCGTATGTCGCAACCCTTGGATATATCAAATCTTCCCACTGGCAGTTCATTTGTTTGGAATGCCTAATACAATATATGACAACCGCTTATATTCAAACAGCAGTCTTCTGCGCATCCTGAATTTGTATCCCTGGAGTGGATGTTATTTTGGAACATCCAATTAGTCCGAGTGAGCGAACAGATTCTTTTAAGCTATAAACTGTGACGAGGTGGTGAAAAAACCGTGCAACTAAGCATACCCGAAGCTAGCCAATTTTTTTTGTATTTACGCTTTATGTTTGGAATTATCTCAAAAGGAAAGAAAGTGTTACACGTATCTAAATATTACGTAGAATATTATAAATCAATCTGAGATGCCAACAATTACTAAAAGAAGGAATCATAGAAGAATATTTCATCTTGGCAAGCGCAAGTATTGGTAGTATCATCAAAACATCATCGACGTAGAATGGTTGTTGATTACTCTCAAACAATTAATCTATATACAGATTTAGATGCCCTCCCGTTACCTCGAATTGACGGCATTGTCAATAAAGTTGCCTCTTATCGGGTATACAGTTCTGTTGATCTCCGAAATGCATACTATCAGATACCAATCAGTGAAAAAGACAAATCTTATACAGCGTTTGAAGCTTGTGGTAAGCTATACCAATTCACAAGAATTCCGTTTGGAGTAAGATATGGCTTTGCAGCATTTCGACGTGTTATGAATAGTATAATTTCGGCTGAAGGTCTATATAGTGTTCAGGTTTACTTAGATGATATAACAATTTGTGGAAATAATCAAGATGACCATGATAAACATTTAACAAAATTTATGGATGCTGTAACAATTTACAATTTAACTCTCAATATTCAAAAAAGTTTCTTTTCGATGAGAGAAATTTATCTTCTAGGGTATATAATTAGTCACAAATCTATAAAGCTGGATCCTAAGCGTCTTCAATCTATTCGTAATTTGTTGATCCCTAATAATACTGCTTTACTTCGAAGAGCTCTTGGCATGTTTTCACATTATGCTTAATTTATTTCCCAATTTGCTAGTAAAATACAGCATCTAACTAGCAGTTCGTTTCCTCCAAACTGTAAATCAATAAAAGTATTCGAGGAATTAAAACTAGACAGTCAAAATGCTGTAGTTTCATCGATAGATGATATAGCTATGTTTGTAGTGCAATCGGAGCTACCCTATCCCAGAACAATCGACCTATCGCTTTTTTTTTTCGAGATCGCTTTATAAATCAGAAATACATCATTCCTCGATTGAAAAGGAAGCTTACGCCATTTTAGAAGCGCTACGGAAGTAAAGACATTATCTCGTTGGCAGATACTTCCGACTAGTAACAGATCAGCTCTCCGTTTCTTTCATGTTTGATAGAAATCATCCAGGGAAAATAAAGAACAAAATAATTATGAGATGGAGACTGCAACTATCAAGTTACGGCTATGAAATTATTTATAGACCTGGAAGAGAAAATATGACAGCTGGACGCATTATCCCGAATATGTTCTTCGATTGGAAAACATTTATCACAGTTACGTAGATTACATGAAATTCTGTCACTCTGGACAGACAAAGATGTACCATTGGGTGAAAAGTAAGAACATACCTTTTTCCTAAGAAGATATACGAAATATATTATCAAGTTGCCATATGTGTGGTATGATAAAACCTCGATTTTATAAACACGATGGTCATCTTATCAAAGCAACTCAGCCTTTTTAAGAGACTTAATATGGATTTCAAAAAGCCCTTGCCTTCATCATCAAGAAATCTTTATTTACTTGTTTTAGTTGACAAATTTTGACGATTTTCATTCATTTTCCATGTCAATATATGTCTGCAAGCACTGTCATACAAAACTTTTTTACATTGTTCAAAACACCTGCTTATCTATACTCTGATCGAGGTTCAAGTTTCATGTCACGTGAACTTAAATCATTTCTTTATGATCTTGGTGTTGCTACAAGTAGAAGCACAGCGTATAATCTACAAGGTAATTATTTGGAAGACCATCGAATAGCACTTAAGAGTCGCCAACTTGACATTACTAAATGGGAAATAGTGTATCAAGAAGCTCTACATTCTATCCGTTCATTATTATGTACATCGATAAACGCAGCACCACATGAAAGAATGTTTAATTTATTTAGAAGATCTAGTAATGGTGTAACAATACCTTCATAGCTGATGAATTTAGGACTTGTTTTAATGAAACGATCAGTTCGTCAGTCAAAGTACGAAACTCTGGTTGAAGAAGTGTTATTATTGGAAGGCAATCCTGAATATTCATACATTAGGTTACCTGATGGAAGAGAAATAACTGTCTGTACAAGACATCTTTCACCAATAGAGAATGCACTTGAAGAATCATTACAAACAAATGAAAGCACTACAACATTAGGAACACATTTTTCCACTCAGATTACTTTAGAAACTAATTCTCCCACTCCTAATCAAATTACTACTCCCATTCAAACTGTTACTCCAACTCAAACTATCAATCCAATTCAAACTGCCACTGTGACAAAAACACATGACGGATGAAGCTAAGCAATCTGCAAAATGAACTATAAGTGAACGAGGTCCTCCATCTTATTTAAAAGACTACGTTACTTAGATAATTTACACTAGTTAGTTCACATTATCCAGCAGCATTGAAGAATGTCATAGAACTTATTATTTCAATTCTCTATATTTGAGACCCACCGTATTTGATATAAATTGTCAAGTTGTTATATTCAGTCAGTTGTACTCGTGTATCAGGGACAACACTAATGATTGGTAGTGTGCATGTCGTACGCGCTTTATTTGTACATCGGTCTCCTTTTGACAGAATAGGTGAGCTGTGTCCAGGCAGTTGGTGTTTATGCCGGTCGGCGTAGCCAGGTATGGATTGAAATTTTTTGGTAACGGCGAAGCCGCCACCCTACCAAAAGTCGTTGCTTTGTCTTCTTGTAGTCACGGCATTATTATTATTTGTTCATGTATGTGAAATTTGTGCCCAAGGTTTATCAAATACTACTGCCAGTTACGGCGTAAATGAAAACAAACAAGACGCATTCACACAAACACCTCCTACCACAGCAATTACAAATTATTAATATTCTCCCCGATACGCGAGTGTTAGTTGATTTATTCAATAGTTTTATGCTGATTTATATCAATGCTGTGAAGCCTTAATAAAGGTAAATTGTTTGCATCGTTTAATTATTACAACAATGGATCTGACAGAAAATATTATGATGCGATTCGAACATTAGTTTTTTTAAAAATCTAATGTTTTATTAATATTTAGTGGTGTTTATATTTTTATTTTTGGACTGTATACATGTGTTGGAATTTTTATAAAATCGGTAATTTGATTTTTTAAAAGACAAGATACAAAACGGCATTGAAAAATCATGTAATGATTTCCATCAAATTTCAAATTAATTACTTTTTATTTGAATTATGAAGAAAACTATTATTTATTGTGTGAATGGTTTATTTTAAAAACAATAATTTGTAAAATAGTAACGATTATAACATCGACCTATTAAATGATAGAAGATAACAATAATCAAAAATATTTTTAAAATTAATGTTTTGTTTGGCAGCTTTTAACAGCTTTCAAAAAACTTGTCCCCCTTTTCTTTCACTCATAGTTGTTATTAACTTCAAACACAAAAACTCTAAAAACAATGTTTGTAATTTTAATTTATATTCCGAAATTAGTAACTGCATCATCCTCCTTTTTATTAACATCGATGTTATTAATAACTTGAACCTGATAAACACCGTCGTTGGTAGAAACAGATTTAGAAGACAAAATTTCTTTCCTTAACGTTTTCTCTCCTTCATCAGTAACCAAATTGGTCTTTACGTAAACATTGACCACGGGTTGGGAACACTGTCCATTAGCCACCACGGGATTTTGCATTTGGGCTTCGCAAACGAAGAAGAGTCTTTTATCGCAATTGTCGTTACTCCATTTAGCTCTTTCATCGACTTGGATGCAGTCTTGAGCCAGCCATCCTCCTACGCTGGGATTGTTTAGGTTCCAATTCGTGTAGGTTACCGGTTGTTTTGAGATAGACCACATCCAGGAACCCGCTTGTCTTTGACCTGCTGTCCAATATGGACCAGTAGCACCTAAAAATACCACTCAATTCGATTACAAGGAAGAAAAAGCAAAACAGAAAAGTTATTTTGTAGAAATAGTGCATTATATATACCAGTATCAAGTAAAAGTCTTTCTAGAAGTCCATTTTCATTCTGGTTGTTAATTTCAACTAGCTGCATGTTGTGGTATGTACAATACATGGCTGCTTGGCGTTGTGTTCCCTGTAAAAAAAATAGTATTATTACAGCACCTCTTTTACTTTTCCAATGAAAATTATTTTATTTATACTTACTATCAATGATATTTCAACATGGTAGTGTTTACCTCCGTAAGTTCTGATAGATATAATACCTGGATTGCTCCGTCTAATGATTCTATCCCACTCAACATCTAAAAATGTTGAATTTTTAATTAAGATCAACATCCAGTTATAAAATAAATAATAAAAGTAATACCGGAATATCCTCGAATTGGGACATTTCTTGTTGTCGTTTGAGGTGTTGGGATTTCATTTGGATTGTTTCTTGAACTGTCATCGCTCCCTCCATTTCGTATATCAATCGGAATTAACAAACCTTGATTATTACCCTGATTTAAAATATTCCTTCCACTTCCTATTGATGCTAAAAGAATCAATTTATTATGTTCATATATGTATAACAGAATGAAGACATTTGTATTATAATACCTCCTATATTTTCATCGGTGTCATCTCCAAATCCACTTTCGCAAATAACCTTGAACTGATTGTGACAGTAATCGTCAGTCCACTCCAAACCTTTGTCTTGATTATGAGCCAAATGTAAGCATAACTCTTCTTCGCCATTTGGTTCTTCTTGTCTCCAGTTTGTGAACTCGACCGGTATTCCTCTAGTAAACCACACCCAGTTCTTACCATCCAGAAGTCTGGAACCAGACGACCACCAATCATCTCCAGCGTCTGAAAAATAAGTTTTTTTTTTGATAATCAACAACATGTAATGGTATTAAAGAAGTATAATTCTGGCAATACAGACTTTAGTTTCAATGTACTTTTTCAAATAACTGATGAAAAGTAAATCTTGAGGATACTTACTGGTATCACGAATATATTTGCTAATCCTATCGTTTTCTTCTTTGGATTCTATTGCCACCAGTTCCATATTCAATATCTTGCAAAATTGTATAGCTTGCATGTAATTGGTCTAAAAAATCAACTAATTATTGATACATTTCAGCATAATTTAGATTTTCTTTTATATATTAACAAGAAATTAGGAAAAACCTTTAACTATACTTTAAAGTATCTGGAAAAATAGTATATTTTGTTATTGTAGTGGAGGACAGCAACGTTTGAATAAGTGTTCATCAAATTCTGCCAACCTAATAACACAAAAAATATTTTATATTAAAAATAATTTTTATTCATTAAAATATCTTACGTGAATATGTCATATCTTTGTTTTGAGAAAATGTTCTGGGTTCATATCGCTCACAAATGAAGAAATTTTGCATACCACACGGTACGTCGTGCCAAGACAAATCTTCGTCAGCAAAATTTACTGCTATGCACTGTTCATCATTATTATCAGGCTGTCCTGGAGCCCATTTGGTATAATCCACGTTAGATCCGTAAGACATCCATACCCAATTTTTGTTATCTATGAGTTTAGCACCAGCAGTCCAGTAAGTGGTTCCTCTATCTAAAAGATTTAGGTTGAATTAGATCTATTTAAATCGAATTAGATAGGGTTTAGACGAATTTAGACCGACGTAAATCAGTTTTATTTTAGAGCGGTTTAGACCTATTTAAACCAAATTAAACAGGTTTTAAACGAATTTAGACCGGTTTAGAATTATTAATAATATTCTAAATTAATTCAGATCGGTTTAGACAGATTTAAAACAGTTTAAACCTGTTTTGACTGATGTAGAACTTAGACCATTCAAAACCGTTTTAATGATTTGTTAGCGCAAGAGTATGTAAGGTTAAGCACCAGCAGTACAGTACGTGATTCCTCTATCTCAAACATTAGGCTTGATTAAGATGTATTAAAATTGAAGTAAATGTGTTCTTAATAGATTTAGATCAGATTTATTAGATTTAGACAAGTTTAGACAGATTTAAAATGGTTTAGACCTATTTTGGTTGGTTTTGACTGATGTGTAACAGACTATTTAAAACCATTTTAATTGTCAGTGCAAGCAAAAAAATGTAAGGTTTTACACTAACAGTACGGTACGTGATTCCTGTATCAGAAATATTTAGACCTATTAAAACCTAATTAAATATGTTCCAAACAAATTTAATCCAACTTAGATCAGTTTAATCCAATTTAGACCGCATTAGACTAATTTAGGTTGGAATAAACTGATTTAGAACGATTTAGACAGATTTAAAATGGTTAGGACCTGTTTAGACTGGTTCTGACTTATGTAGAAGGACTTAGACCGTTCAAAACCATTTTAATTGTTTGTCAGTGTATATAAAAGAATACATAGTGTTTAGAGTTAGCAGTTCTATACGTAATTACACTATTTAAAAAATTTAGCTCGACCAAGATGAATTAAAACCGAAGTAAATGTGTTTTAAATAAATTTAGACCCATTTAGATAATTTTTAATCCGATTTAGACCAACTTAGACCGGTTTAGACAAATTTAACACGGTTTAGACCTGTTGAGACCTATTTAGACCGGGTTTGACTGATGTAGAACGGCTTTTCCACCATTCAAAACAATTTTAATGACTTGTCGTCAGAGAAATTTAGCTCGACTTAGATGTATTAAATCAAATTAAATATGTTTTAAACAAATTTACACCAACTTAGATCAGTTTAACCCGATTTAGACTGATTTGGACTGGGTTAAAACTTATTAATCCAAATTAAGAAAGTTGTAGATGAATTTAGACTGATTTAAATCGATTTAGACTAATTTAAATTATTGTAGATAGGTTTAGACATATTTAAACAGTTTAGACCGGTTTTGACTGACGTAGAATGACATAGACCATTCAATACCAACCAATTTATTGGTTTATCAGTGCATTCAGAAGGTTTGGCACTAGCAGTCCAGTACGTGGTTCCTCAATCTGAACCTTTTATGGCGATCTAGACCTAATAAGATGTGTTTAGTACGAATTTGCACCAACTTAAATAAGTTTAGTCTAAAGACTGATTTAGTCCAGTTTATACCAATTCAGAACGATCTAAACCGATTTAGACATGTTTTATATGAATTTAGATCGATTTAGATTTATTTAGAAATATTTTATTTCGATTTATTTTGTTACACTTATTTAAAACAGTTTAGACCTACTTTAACCGGTTTTGGTTGATGTATAACTACTTAGACCATGTAAAACCATTTTAATGGATTATCAGTGTATACAAAGGGGAGTGGGAACATTTTAAATAGTTTGTAGTTGAAAATATGTTGAGATGTGCTAATATATTTTAAAAATGAAGATTTTAAATGTATGGAGTACTTACTGGCATTTCGAATAAATTTATAGATAGCTGCATTTTCATTGATATCTCTAATAGTTAATAATTTCATGTGAATGTTTTCACAAAACTGCATGGCTTGTAAGTAAGATGCCTATAAAAAATTATTGTTTAATACATAATAAGCGCAAAAATATCAAATACTTTGTAAATACCTACCTCCATGTAAACAAAACTTCATACCTTAATATTGTATCCCAAGTAGTAATATTTGTCTCCATAATAATTTAAGGGTAACAAAGAACTTTTATTGTAGGCAAAAACATGCTCCCATCCTAAAAGGTAATTGAAAGATTAAGAAGATAATATAAGGCATTATATGAAAAGGTAGAAAATAAAAAAAGTCCTTTTAATTTTACAAAGATATGTATTTTTTACTGCGACCGATTTCGAAGTATAGTAAATTAAAAATACATATCATTATTTTCTACCTTTTCATCTACCCATGGCTACCCCAAGTTTGTATATTATTATTTTCATGCTTGTCTCACAATGGATCTAATGAGAATGTCTTTGTTATCTATTGTTAAATCACATATGGTGCTACTTAAATTCTACCATTGTATTTAGATATCTAAATACAATGGTTCTACCTTAAATAGTCTAATCAAATGGTGTTCAAAAGTGCCTGTTTCGTAACATGAGTGCGGTAAAAGGTTTCTCAACGGAATTACATGTTTTTTTTGAGTGAGGAACACGAATCTGAAGTTTTCTGCCTCATAGCAGTGCCGCTTCAGGTCGAAAAATGCAAAAATCCTTAAAATTTTCGGAGTTTTTTTTTGGTTTTCCGCTTGTATAATGGAAACGATGTTTTGTACGGAAAAAGTTGTTCTATTCAAAGTTAAAGAACCTAAAATTTTGCTTTAAAAAATGTAATTTTTAAATTGGACCGATTTATAAGGTGTGAAAACTGCAAGAAACTCACTTTTAGACGTATGTGATATAAAAAACAGCCACACTACGTGAAGAACTCGTAGAACAAAAGTTGTAAAGCATCAAATTTTGCGTTCAGTGAGCAGTATATACGCATATACTGATAATTTCTTTATTTTCCCTCGCGCTTACTTGACCAATATGAAGGAGTTTCGCAAACTTTTATGAAAACTGCTATAAACTCACAAAATCCATGAAGCGGTTGAGGAAATAAACCAAGAAACAGTCAGTGGAAATACAATTCAGCCACACAATGATACCAACGATGTCTCAAGAAAAGTTTCTGTGTAATGCCGAAAACAAAAGTCGCTTAATCACCATGCTAATGGCAAAGTGTGAAGAAGTTGGAATTGCAAACAAGCAAACGAGAATGCGGATTCACTGATTATTCGGACGGCCGAATTCTTAACCCCAACTCATCAAACTGTTGCGATTGTGGGGGAAGATGTAGATCTGCTGGTGATAATGATGGATCTCAACACTTCCCTCCAAACGTCTATCTGCTGAAATCAGGGAAAGGAAAAGCGCCTCAGTTGCTGTACCAACCACAATCTGCAGTGAAACAAAATCTTGCCAAGAATATGCTGTTTCTGCACGCGATGAGTGGATGCGACTCGACATTATCTTTATATAATCAAGGCAAGACTAAATTCTTGATGACTCTTTTTAAATATCCAGACCTTGAAGAGACCGTTGGGAAATTCTTAGATCCGTCAGCCCAGCCAACGGCAAATGCTGCTGCTAAAAAAAAATTTTTGGTGGATCTGTACGGTGCTAACCATCTAACAACTGCAGCCTACCAGCATAGCTTGCGTGTACATTTATAAGTGCAGCAATGGCTCAGCAACAGTTTGGATCCGAAGCTGTGGGGTTAAAAGTCAACCACAAATGGTCTGATCCCACTTACCATCCTGAAACCCCCGACTCCTGATAATGCAGCAAATATCATGCAAATGCCGCACTGACTGTGGTGGGCGTTTTGAATGCAGGCGCGCAGGTCTGTTCTGCACCCAAATCTGCATCTACTGCGCCGATTCCTGCACCAACGTGGACGAAAGAACCGACCTCGATGAGCAAGAAGATAAACCTCCGTTTGCTGCACCACTGTCAGAGGCAGGTGAAACTTCAGAAGGTAATTTATGCATTATTTTACAACACAAACTCAGTGACATTGCTTTCAGTTGAAGAATCGGCATCCCAGCCTGCCACTCCGTATGCTGAAGAGTCTGAGCCTGGACCATCATCGTCAATTAAAAATCCTACGCCCGGACCTTCCACAATCCCAGCAAAACGACGGAGAGTCAAATAAAATGGACATTGCTATCAGGTATTTTTTTTTTTTTTCATAGCATACTATACTTCAACTTACTTGTTCTTTCCAGTTGAATATATGGTCTTCTCATGATTTTTCTTCAAATATACAATGAGAAGTTACTTTTTTAAAGAGTCAAGAGTACGATGAAATTCAGGAAGTAGTAATTGCAAAGAATCCAGAAAACGAGGAATACAACAACAACAACAACAACAACAACAACAACAACAACAACAACAACAACAACAACAACAACAACAACAACAACAACAACAACAACAACAACAACAACAACAACAACAACAACAACAACAACAACAACAACAACAAGAAGAAGAAGAAGAAGAAGAAGAAGAAGAAGAAGAAGAAGAAGAAGAAGAAGAAGAAGAAGAAGAAGAAGAATAAGAAGAAGAAGAAGAAAAAGAAAAAGAAGAAGAAGAAGAAGAAGAAGAAGAAGAAGAAGAAGAAGAAGAAGAAGAAGAAGAAGAAGAAGAAGAAGAAGAAGAAGAAGAAGAAGAAGAAGAAGAAGAAGAAGAAGAAGAAGAAGAATAAGAAGAATAAGAAGAAGAAGAAGAAGAAGCTGGAAAGAGTCAAGGAAACGACGAAATCTAAAAAGAAGATAGAGTAGATGCAAAAAGAAGTACCCAACCTGTTTCAGAAGCTACCAAAAACAAAAACAGATTGAAAAGTGGAGAAATGTCTGTACCAAAATTATTGAGCAAAACCTCAAAGTTCGTTAAACAACAGGAACAAGATATTTTCGCACCGAAGCCGAGATTGCGCTCTCAAAAATAATTTGTTTTTCTCTGTGCCATTTTTATCTCGTTTTATCATACACTATTTTTTACTTATTTGTTTGGTTGTATTGTTAGAGGTATTTTATATTTAATGGATAATCTTATTAAAGAGCATGAGTATAGTTTTTAAAAACCAAAGGAATTTTCAAATATTTCAGGTTATAATAATAATAATAATATTAATTTGGAAGAAAACAATAAGTATGACTTCTGTATAATTCATCAAAATATACGAAGTACAGGAAAGAATATGGATGAACTTAATCTAGTCTATTTATCACAAGTTAAATACCAAATTCAAATAATCGTTTTGACCGAAACTCGTCAGTTAGCAGATGTTGATCAGTTCACACTAGATGGTTATAATACTATTTACAACCATGGAGATATAAACATATGTGATAGAGTAATGGCATTTATAAGTTCACGCCGTAGTCGATTCTATGAAATTCTTAGTATAAAAAAATGTGATATTTATTTAAAAAAATGTATTTAGTTTTTAATATTTAATTTTTATATATTTACCCTGTAATTTCAATGTTTTTAATCGATTATAATTATTTTTATTATTTTTATAATTATTCTTTTTTAATATGATTCAGTAGATCTGTTTTATAATTAATATTTTCTAATTTTATAAAATTTTTATAAATATGCATGTAACGGCAAATCCACGTGCTGGCTTAGCCTTAGTGGATTTACTAGATTACTTACACTTATGTATTTATGTATTTATTTAGAATAAAAAAAAATAAAATCTTGTAAGTTCTAAATATAATAAATGAGTAATTTTTTTTTTGTAAATGGTACTTATTACTTCTTATTACATCAACATAATACTTATAAATCCTCAAGTTAGACTTGCAATAAAATGAGGGGGAAGGAATTTAGGGTTGGGAAGGGAGTTTGAGAGAGAGGGGGAGTTGGTACTTCAATTTAGGATTGAGAGGAGTGGTTTGAGAGGTAACAGCGCAGAGTAGTTATTATTGAACCCCTGCGTATTGGTCAAATAAGCGTTTAGAGGGATAATGGAGAAATTATCAATATATGCGTATATACTGATCTAAATTTAAAATTTCGGTGCTTACTGAACGCAAAATTTGATGCTTTACAACTTTTGTTCTACGAGTTTTTCACGTAGAGTGGCTGTTTTCATAGACAGATCTCCAAAAGTGAATTTTTTGCAGTTTTCACAAAAGTTTTTCGACTGACGATAGCGACCTTATAAATCGGTCCAATTTGACAATTAAATTTTTCGACGCAAAATTTTATGGTCTTTAACTTTGAATAGAACGACTTTTTCCGTAAGATGCATCGTTTCCATGATATGAGCGGAAAACCAGAAACACTCCGAAAATTTCGAGGATTTTTGCGTTTTTCGACCTGAAGCGGCACTGCTACGAGGCAGTAAACTTATAGCAATTTATTTTGTAGAATGACCATTCTTCAGATATGTATTTTTTGAAATCGAGAGTGCCTCCAGACTCAAACCTGCTATTCTTTTATTTATTTTTATTTATTAAATATACTGCTCTACATGCTAAATGCCTAATTGTAGAACAGGAGAAAAAATAGTTTGTATTTACAAAAGTAAATACACACAACTAAACTTATATGAAATCACTGTCTATTTTTAAGGAGGTCCTTTCGCCACCAATGTTAAATAAAAAATGTTAGATTATCACTAAAATTAATAGTTGAAGTCCTTATTTATCTATTAGTGAACTTTAAACTATACCTTACCGTGCAAATTTTTGAGATTTTTTTTTTTTCTAAAAATGTGAGTATTTGTACAGTCTTACGAGAAAGTAAGACTTAAACAACAATTTTTGAATTATAGTTAAGTATACTATTATTTATTGATTAGATGGAGTAGAAAAAAACTAAAAATAAGGTTTTTGAAATATTTAGGTTTTGTTTTTTACAATAAAATATATAGGTTACCGTGGAATTTATTAAGAAATTAATATTAAAAAATCACAAAAAAATTTCAGCTAGGTTACTCGAAATTTTTTTTTTTATTAATTTCTAAATAAATTCCACGGTAACCTATATATTTTATTGTAAAAAACAAAACCTAAATATTTCAAAAACCCTTATTTTTAGTTTTTTTCTACTCCATCTAATCAATAAATAATAGTATAATTCGAGAATTGTTGTTGAGGTCTTACTTTCTTGTAAGACACTGTACAAATACTTACATTTAAAAAAAAATTTTTTTCAAAAATTTGCACGGTAGGGTATAGTTAAAAGTTCACTATTAGATAAATAAGGACTTCAACTATTAGAAAAAAAATAAATTTTAGTCATAGTCTAATATTTTTTATTTAACATTGGTGGCGAAAGGGGTGGCGAAAGGATCTCCATAAATAAACTTTTTGTAAGGAATAAATGTGGTATCCAACTTTAAGATTAAGGCTTTTTGTTTAAAACAAACATGATAATAAAGAAAAAACTAACAGATGTGCAGAGGGAAAAATTATTGCTCTCATTTAACAAGGAATGTCCCAATGAGACATAGCAAAGGCAGTAGGCGATACCCAGGGTGTTGTATCGAAAACATATGAAAGGTACTTGGTACTTGTGAACAATCCACTCGAGTTGTACATTATATTTTTTCAACAACACATACGAAAATTTACAAATAAAAAAATATTTTAGGTTAGAAAGTCAAAATAACTAAATTAAAAAAAAAGATTTAATTGAAAATCCCCAGCAGAGGCTTGAACTTGGGTTTCTCGCGTGAAAGGCAGATACTCTCACCACGCATCCACCGGCAGATTTGGGAAACTGTTTTAATACTCGTAATCGAATTGACTTCACAGAGTTTTTATAAAATTAACAAATTATTTATAATTTTAGTATAAATAAAAATGGAAATGCTATTATTTATTGATTCTACACAAAAATAAGTTACTTTAATGTATATTTAAGTTCAATAACTAAAAAATATACTGATAATTAGTTTGAATTGTCACTTATTTAAAATTTTAAAAAGAATAGTCGTCGGGTGACCAAAAGATGAACTGTGATTGGTAGATTTCATTATTTTGCACTCTCACTACATAAAATGGATATAAAATATATTTGTTTAGTTAATAGCAATAGTATACTTTTTCGTTTTGAAGTCTGTGTGTAGATAGGTTAATATCCACGTGGGTGTAGAAAAACGATTAATAATTACTAAACGAAATGATAGATGTCAGATGTGACAGGTGACATATATCACAGATGTCACTATAGACAAAATTGTATGAAAATTGCCCGTTGTTTTTGTTTATAATGATTGACGAATCCCTTTTAAAGTAAATATTGTTATTTACTTTCTGTTCTTACCACTTCAGATTTCATTTTGTTAGTTTTTGATAATGAATCTAAAGTAAAAAGAGAGAGAAACAAAAAGCATCGATGAATTTAAATTAAAGTTTCGATTGGAAAACAAGCTCTGAAACAAAGATAGCAAAAAGTTGTAAACATATGCTAAAGCTAAAAGCACACAAAATATATTTTTAATGCAATAAAAACATAAATTTGAAAAATACTTTTTTTTCCAAATACTTTATTTTTTCCTATTCAAACAATTGTATACGTTTATTTTTGTTAAAAAAGTTGGCAACCCTAGCTAGAGGTGGTAACATGGATTGTTAAAATTACCGATGTCCTTTTTGTTTTTGTCTTTGCCTTTCAGATATTTAAATCTCATTTTGTTTCAAAAACCAAAAAAATACCATTGTGTTTATTCGTAAACAAAAAATTTTCATACATCACAAAAATTATGAAAAATAATAGATGATTGCATATAAGTTTGGTTGTGTGTATATTAAATAATAAGATAAATGGGATATAATATAAATTACATTTTATAATATAAATTACATATGACATAAATTAAATACATATAACATACATTAAATATACCTAACATAAATTTTTATTATTTAATAATTATTTTGATGGTTATTTGGATTCAGGAAGACTTTTATGTAAATGATTTAAAAATGTACCCTGATTGAATGCCTTTTAGTATACTTCAGATACAACATCTAAATAATGTCAGTGTCAAAGTTTCAGATCCTGACAAATTTTTTATGGTTTTTTATTTATGTTTGATGTAATAAATATATCAATGCATTATTATGGCAATAAGTTTGTTGCAGCCATAGTGAAAGTATTTCATTTATTTATATAAAATATATTAATAACTAAAACGTTTACTAACCTGCAGAATTTAAAGAAATACTTTGTGCGGATGATTCACTTATAAAAAACAACAACACTGTAGAAATAAACAATTTGATAGACATTGCAAAAACGTTTGGCATAATTTTCAATTGTTCTTCGGTACTTATAGTGTAATGTTTTAAAATTTTAATTTTTGAACTTGACCTATTGGTTTTTCCAAAATTATTGATATTAGGATCTTTCACCGATTTTTTTAGAACGAGCTGATTTTTATATAGGTACTTTGACTGGAAGTTGGTGCAGTTCGTTGATGCGTGTTCGGGTGTAATACTTGAGAAAAAAGACAGGAATACGAAAATACTTAGTTATTTACACTGCTATTCACTAGATTGGTGTTAAGGATGGACGAAAAAAAATTTGGAAATGAAAGAATAGAAAATTAAGAAAAAGAAAAATTTTGGTAACAAATATATAGAAAGTTAGGAAAAATGGACATAGATAAATGTAAGATAGAATGGTAGCAGAAATAATATCAGGAAATAATATATTAATGCAAAAAAGTTGAGTATCATTACCAATGATAAACTATTTATATATCTATTATACGATTAATACCAGGCACATAATTTAGTATAGTAAAAGGTTCATAAGTAACCCTTTTGGTACACCAGATAAATTTTTGTAAGAATATTTATTTAAAAAACAAAAATTTTGTATGTAACATATTATATCAGTTCTTTTTACTTTTCTATCTGTATACAGATATAAGGAAAGTATAGGAATCATGATTTTTTTCGACCTCTAGTTTTCGACGGATTTTTACGTTTTGAGGTCCCCTGAATCCGTTTTGACTATTTTCGCGATAATGTGTGTGTGTGTGTGTGTGTGTGTGTGTGTGTGTGTGTGTGTGTGTGTGTGTGTGTGTGTGTGTGTGTGTGTGTGTGTGTGTGTGTGTGTGTGTGTGTGTGTGTGTGTGTGTGTGTGTGTGTGTGTGTGTGTGTGTGTGTGTGTGTGTGTGTGTGTGTGTGTGTGTGTGTGTGTGTGTGTGTGTGTGTGTGTGTGTGTGTGTGTGTGTGTGTGTGTGTGTGTGTGTGTGTGTGTGTGTGTGTGTGTGTGTGTGTGTGTGTGTGTGTGTGTGTGTGTGTGTGTGTGTGTGTGTGTGTGTGTGTGTGTGTGTGTGTGTGTGTGTGTGTGTGTGTGTGTGTGTGTGTGTGTGTGTGTGTGTGTGTGTGTGTGTGTGTGTGTGTGTGTGTGTGTGTGTGTGTGTGTGTGTGTGTGTGTGTGTGTGTGTGTGTGTGTGTGTGTGTGTGTGTGTGTGTGTGTGTGTGTGTGTGTGTGTGTGTGTGTGTGTGTGTGTGTGTGTGTGTGTGTGTGTGTGTGTGTGTGTGTGTGTGTGTGTGTGTGTGTGTGTGTGTGTGTGTGTGTGTGTGTGTGTGTGTGTGTGTGTGTGTGTGTGTGTGTGTGTGTGTGTGTGTGTGTGTGTGTGTGTGTGTGTGTGTGTGTGTGTGTGTGTGTGTGTGTGTGTGTGTGTGTGTGTGTGTGTGTGTGTGTGTGTGTGTGTGTGTGTGTGTGTGTGTGTGTGTGTGTGTGTGTGTGTGTGTGTGTGTGTGTGTGTGTGTGTGTGTGTGTGTGTGTGTGTGTGTGTGTGTGTGTGTGTGTGTGTGTGTGTGTGTGTGTGTGTGTGTGTGTGTGTGTGTGTGTGTGTGTGTGTGTGTGTGTGTGTGTGTGTGTGTGTGTGTGTGTGTGTGTGTGTGTGTGTGTGTGTGTGTGTGTGTGTGTGTGTGTGTGTGTGTGTGTGTGTGTGTGTGTGTGTGTGTGTGTGTGTGTGTGTGTGTGTGTGTGTGTGTGTGTGTGTGTGTGTGTGTGTGTGTGTGTGTGTGTGTGTGTGTGTGTGTGTGTGTGTGTGTGTGTGTCGCATAACTCATGAACCGATACACAGAAAAACACTAAATTTCAAACTTAAGCTTTGTTCCAGCGTCCAATGTGCTGATTAAATTTTGGGCAGTGTCGGAACATCTGGAGGGGTACTTTATTGGTGGTCATTTTTATATTTTATGGAATATATCTGTTATTTATGTTTGGGGAAGAACATTTTTCAAATAAAAGTTACTTCTTATATTATTGTCTAAAATTTTTGTTCTATACAAAATTTTCCTAAAATGGTCCGTATTCGAGAAATTTGACAAAATGTAAAAAAACATTTTTTTATAAAAATTAATCAAACAAAAGTTGTTTGTAATATAATTCTCTATAATTTTTATCCCATAATTTCTCTAAAATGGATCGTATTCGATATATTTGAGAAAATGTGTAAATTTCGAAATTTGAAGAAAACTCAAAAACGGATAAAGAAAAAACATTAAATTTTAAACTTAAGTTTTATTTCGGCCTGACGTGAAATGATCAGATTTTGGACAAAGTCGGAACATCTGGGGGGTACTTTATGGGGGGGCGTTTTTATATTTTATGGAATATAACTGTTATTTATGTTTGGAGAAAAAAATTGATGAAATAAAAGTTATTTCTAATATTATTATCTATAATTTTTGTTTTATGATAAAATTTCCTGAAATGGTCCGTATTCGAGAAATTTGACAAAATGTGCAAAATTCTGATTTTTATGAAAATTGTTGAAATAAAAGTTGTTTGCGATATCGATATCTATAATTTTTGTTTTTACATGATTTTTCTAAAATGGACCGTAATGGAAAAATTGTAGGAAAAGTGCTAAATTTAAATTTTTCAGTATTTTCATTTTCAATGAACATCTATAGAAAAATGTTTCGAGGTAGATGTATGTGGAAAATGTATATATTTATTTTATCCTCTAAACATTTATGGAGGTGCTGCAATAGGTTGTACAAAATAACCGGAAAAAGCCTGTAATAACTAGATAGGAAAGTCATGTGTTGGACACATCAGACTTTTGATATATTCATTGTGCTGGTACTCTTTTTTTTATACAAAAACGTATTTTTTTTATAAAATCAGGATAATCGCATATTAATTTATAGTTAATGTCACCTTGAAAGGAATTAAACCTAATTACATTATCAAGTAGGTATTTACTTCTTTACCGAGAGTACAATTGCCATTTTATGATAGACATAACAATATAAAAGGTAAGTACATATTAACTTAATTTTTTTTTTTTTTTCATTTAATCGTTGAGAGAGATATGTATGTTATAAATCTTTTATTGAGAAATTATTGCTACACTTAATAACATGTTAGTAAATTTGTATTTGACTTTGATAAGATAGCTTAAACCAGGTGTAAGAAACATAATTGCAGTCTGTGATTTGATGTTGTTAGAAGTGTAAGTATTACGTTAATTAAATTTTTAAGCTTGGTAGCAATAGTATCCCTGCTTTAAGGACGGGGTATTCATGGGTATGAAAACCGTACCTATGTGCAGAAAAAACTTAAATCGACTGATTACTAAATATAATAAATATTATTTAAAAAATTTAATTTCAGTCAAAGTAAAGATAACGAAGATCTAATTTATTATTTTAGCGGAATAATTTTGAAAGTCTCTGGTCAAAACAAGAGAACCATGATTATTCAACTTAAAAATAGATTTTCTGACTTAAATCATCTAGAATGTCTAGCACTAGGTATATAATTTTGACAATTACAAAAATTATGCAAAAAAAATCCAGATAGCGCCTTTCATCAACTTTTAAAGCTATATGGACAAAAATTTGACATGGTAAAGTTAAAAACAGAATTGACAGTTCTTTATAATGATCCAGATTATGTTAAAAAAATTGCAAGAATTTTATCAATATTTAAAATCTTCAGAGCTTGATAATGCATTTCCGGAAGCCTTTAAAATGGCAAACTTATTTTTAACAATTTCAGCTACAAATGCATCCGTTGAAAGACATTTTTCAGCAATGAAGCGGATTAAGACATGCCAAAGAAATACTCAATTGCAAGATTGAATGTCATCACTTTCTTTAATTTTCATTGAGAAACGCTTTTCAAATGGATTAATGACAAAAACCCTGTTTTCTACGATTCTATTATTAACATTTTTGCAAATAAAAGAAATCGCTGAATTGACTTAAAATATAAACAATAGTTTTCAAAATATGTTTTTCCCGTTTGTGTTATTTTTGTAGTAGAATGGTATGTTTAGTTTTTTTTTATTGTTTGTTTGTTTGTTGTTTTATATATTATTATATACAGGGTGGCGCATCCTATACGCGTCGGTCTCTGTAGGGAAAACGAGTTAAAATTTGAATTTTTATTCTTAATAGGGATATACAAGGCTATTAACGCTACGAATTAAAATTAAAGTGGATTATACAGGGTGACCCAAAAATAAGAATTTATATCAAAGTTATGTTTTTTTAAAGGGAACACCCTATATTTGATGGTGTCTTTTGATTCCCTGGAAAAGATAAAGTAAAGTTTCTGTAATGTTTCCTATATCTATCTTTTTTCGTTTTTGAAACATTTAAAGGATTCTTAATTTGTAAGCTTGAACAACATAATCTGGTATGTCGCGGTTATTTAAAACACATCAACAGTCACCTGCGATATGCGTAGCCAAGATATTATACTATCAACTAAAATGCATTATACAGGGTGCTCATTTAGTCTAATTGAATTCTACTTACATATGGAGTTGAATAATATTCTTATTTTAAATGGCACAGCCTGCATTTAATAACAAACTGATAGACATTTAAATTATCTTTCATTCCATATAAGATTTCCCTATACCTAAATTCAACCCCTATACCTAAATTCAACGGTTTTTTAGTAAATATCTGTTTTTATGTTTAACACAGCTAATTTTTGTAAATACTCTTTCCCGTCAAACGGACTTTTGAATTTAAATGTCAAATGTGAGTTTCACATTTCTATTTAGTAAGTTAGATATCAAATGTACAAAAAATCGAATTTGAAACATGAAAACTTATTCTAAAGCGTTTTGTTAATAAATGGATCGGAAGAGGTGGTACACAATTGGCCTCCAAGATCTCCAGACTTGACGTCGTTGGATTTTTTTTATGGAAACACATACAAAGTATAGTTTATAACTACTCTGGAAGATATGAAAGCTAGAATAAGAGCTGCTTTTCAGACAGTAACTGGCGAAATTCTTCTTAAACGATCCTTTGAAAAACGAGTTCACTTTGAACATTTTTTATAATTTATTTTGTTTTCAATTTGTTTCTTACTCTTTTTCATTTGTGTATAGTTTTCAAATAATTCAAA